TGTCTCAAATAATACGTTCTAACCATAAGCTCCCCTCCCACCACTTCTCCTAGCTACTCTCCCCCCTTCACTTCCCCTGGAATTAACTGAGTCTCTATTTCCCTTCAAAAATGGTACGCCTGTCAGGGATATCACGGAACAGGGCATAACAAAAGCAATATGACAAGGCACACATTCCTATATAAAGGCTGTATAAGACAAATCAGTATAAGGAAAAGAATCCCAAAAGCAGGCAAAAGAATCAGAGATTCTGTACTCTCACTGCTAGGAGCCTCATAAAAATCCCAAGCTAAATAACCATTACATACATGCAGAGGACTAACACAGACCCCTGTAGGCTCTGTGATTGCTCCAGACGACTTTCTTATAGAACTCAGGACCACTAGCCCAAGGATGATATCACCCACAATGGGCTCACTCCTGTCAATTATTCATTAAGGAAATGACATACTGCAGGAGCTTGTGGAAGCATCTTCTCAGTTAAGGTTCCTACCTTTCAGATAACTCTAGCTTGTGTTAAATTGACATAAAACTAGTCAGCACAGGAACACATTTCAGATTTTCCATTGTGTCTTGCTTCACTGTCTTATATCAGTGCCCAGAGGACAAAATTATACATTGCAGAGAAAAGGGTACATGTGCAGTGGATCTAACCATAACTCTGTATACTTAGATAAGGAAGATGCTCAATGCTGTTGCCTGGTTGTGAAAGTCAACCATGTACTGTACATGTCGACTGTGTTATGTTAAAAATATAGCCTTCCGTTCGGGACATTCACTATGTTTCTCTCATAGGTTAAACTGAATGAGCGCATTATAGCCACTTCCCAAGGACTGCTGATTCGTTCTGTTCAAGATTCTGACCAAGGACTCTACCACTGCATTGCCACTGAGAACAGCTTCAAACAGACCATAGCCAAGATTAACTTCAAAGTTTTAGATTCAGATATGGTGGCTGTTGTGACAGACAAGTGGTCCCCATGGACATGGGCTGGCTCTGTGAGGGCTCTACCCTTCCATCCAAAGGACATCCTGGGGGCATTCAGCCACTCAGAAATGGAGCTCATCAATCAGTATTGCAAAGACACCCGGCAGCGGCAGCAGCAGCAGCAGCTGGGTGAAGAGCCACCGAAGATGAGAGGGGACTATGGCAAGCTGAAGGCACTCATCAACAGCAGGAAAAGCAGAAACAGGAGGAATCAGCTTCCAGAGTCATAAAACATTCATCCATGGAGTTTTGCTTCCAGGAACAAATGCTCTGTCTTCACTAGTCAACTACTAAGCAAAATCTTGTGCTTTACCCATGAGAAATTCCTGACAAACCTGGAGACTTATTATAAAGTGTGTTCTCCATGAACTGAAGTGAGCATGCATTTTCTTGTATGATACAGACTAGCACTAGACATGTCATGGTCCTCATGGTGCATAGAAATATTTAACTTATCCCAGATTTTATTTATATCTTTATGTGTCTTTTCTTCAATATCAGTGCAACAACAGAAGCAGAACTGTTATACCTTCGGTTGAGCAAGGGCCATAAATTACCCTGTGCTGTTCCTTTTGTACTCTAAGGGTTTAGCTTTCTAATTGTCACTGGTTTTTATACATGAAAATGAATTTCAGTTCACAATTTTCACATAGTAAATGTCATATAAATGTGTGTGACATCCAATGTCTTGTAGGTTACACAAATGACAGGGAAGAGAGCATCCAGATGTTACATAAAGCCAAGAGTGACTCATAAAGGGAAAGTGATGAGTTCATATGCTTCCAGTGATTTATATTCTTGCTTGTTCCTTTGTTTAAGATTGTAAGATATGTCAGTTGCTGATATCTACCATCAATCTTTGTTCTCTTGGTTCAGAAAGACAAAATGAATAACCTGTACCATCCAGGCCTTTGATGAGAGATCTATCAGTGAGACATTGACATTTCTACTGCTATGTTATCATCTTCCAAACAAAAGCACTTTGTTTTTTGGAAGTTATTTAAGTTATTATAGACGTACATAAACTGTTGCATTATTTAATTGATTTACTGTTTTGGTTTTATTCCCCTGGTCTACCTGGTAAATTAAAGAAAACAGGGATGCGATATTATTAAAGCATACAACTTTTTTTTCCACTTGATTATAGTTCTCTAGGAATATTGATACACATGTTCATGGACCTGTGTAACCATTGAAAAATTTTAGTTCTATCTCCTAACTATATACTTGGGTTGTTTTATGAGAAAAGTGTAACACTAAAATTAGTTTCTCCAACTTAAATGGATAAAATATAGAAGATTTTTGTACATCTTTTAATTATACAACTTTCATTTTATTTAATTTCATTTTAATACATTTATATTTTCAGATAGAAAGAGAAATTTTACCAAATTCTATTGAAACACACTTCTTATTAACTGTTCTTTTAGAAGGTAATTAAAGGGGATCTACATCCTTTTATAATGCTGTGGGAAAAACTCCAGGAAGTAAAACTATGGATAGAAGTGTAAGTTGGTAGAAGACCATGTGTTTAGCATGCACAAAGACCTGGGTGCAAACAGACAGAAAGGAAGAATGAAGAATGATACTGAGGAAGGAGGCAGGCAGAAAAAAAGGGACAGACTGACTGGAGAAAAGGAAGGCAGGAAGGAGGAAAAGAAGGCAAAAAAGATGAAGGGAATACTTTCATTATCAGAAGATTTAAAAAAAAATGTTAGTTAAATGATGGTCAATTATGGTATTCTAAGAGTGCACCTCACAGTTGTAGAAAACAGGAGTTAAAATAGAGAACATAATGTACCCAAATGTGTACAGTGCTACAATGATCTATAATGTTATCATACACAAATGGTTAGACTGTTTAAAATGTTCACACTTGAGCTTTTCTTATACATATAAAAATACAGTGTGATCACATACAATGCTAACACCATCCTCTGTGTGTGTAATTAATCTATTGTATGAACAGAGCTAAAGCAAAATGACTTCCCAGACACAGAGCCCCTTGCTCTGCTTAATTTCAAACTGCTAGTCGGTGATGTTTGGTTCTATGCTAGTGTTTGTTCTATTTAATACCTCCTGGTTTGTTTTTTTTACCATGATTAGATGTTAAATCTTCATTTCTTTTCCTTTAAAGATATAGAAATTACTGTTCAGCATAATCCGGCCAAAAAGTAAAACATATGTATTCCTCAAAGACATAATTAATACATATTGAATTTGGGTGATTACTTGGTTTTATTTTATTTACTTGGGAAAATTAATGATTTAACATGTTTTTCCTTTGTATTGTACATAAAATGACCTAGAAATGCACTTTTCCCCAAAATGTAGGTTTGTGAATAGATTTAGTATGATGAAGCTGTCTTTACAGTGAATGCTCACCCCGTGTAGAGAAAGCAAACTAGATGTAGTTACCACATGAGAATTTAATTAGATGTTGAAAAAATAAATCATTTGTCTCGAAAAATAAAACATTGAATTCCCCAAGGATGTCTTTCACTTTTCTTCTTAAGGTGATATGTGTCTATGTGACAGAAACTATGGAATTGTTATTATCATTTAAAGACTTAGTTATCCAGTATTGTAAAAACCATTAAATACACTCAAACCATTAAATAAATACAAACAATTAAATGCTTCAGAATTTAACAATTACAGCATATGTATTGCTAACTTTTAGACCAGCAGCCTTCATTCAAGTTCAAACTTGAATCCATCTAGTGTCATCCAAGTCCTATGCATACTCATAAATATATTAGCATATGCAAATCAATGCAGTTTTAGAGTCAGTATTTTATATTTATCTATGCATATATAAATTATTCATAATATATCGTGTCTATAACTTCAAACAGTTGCAGTTTGGGAATCGATAGAGTTGAATCCACTCTACCTACATTTTAATTCCAGGCTCCTGATTTTTTGTTGAGAAAGATTTTTTGTTTCTCTCTACCTCAGATAACTCCTCACCTGGAAAGTGTATGGACAGAACACATCATATATGCACATGTTTTAAAAATGTTATGACATTGCCATATTTACTAGAATAGTAAAGAGTATTTGTATTCTATGTAAAATTCAACAGCAGACTTTCAGGAAGAAAATCTGTGATCAAAGGATCAGCTGGTCCCTTCACAAGTAAGTAAGGCTTTTCTAAGCATGGGAGGAGGAAGCCACAAATTAGCACATCTAGCACATCTGAGTGAGAGGACTGCTGCAAGTTTGTTCTGTCTGTTCCTGGGGAATTATCTACATCAATACGAGCAGTAAGAAACGAAGACTTGCTGAAGCAGGCCATCCAACATGATTACTCGGCTTGACTTCGATGGTCTTCTTGTTCTTCAGTAGATTTCTCATATGTGAATCAAAATTATTCTTTAAAAAAAATATGTACTTAAAAAGAAGCCTTGACATATTTCTGATCTTTTATGCTTCTTATCTAAATAAAAAATTTAAGGAAACAAATAACAGTTTCTGACATGTTTGGGGCTAGCTAAAGCCAGGAAAGGCAGCCAGCTTTGCTGTGTATTTAAGGCTGGTAAAAAGCAGAAGTCTAGACGAAGACATGACAATACCAAGCAATACAGAGTGCTTATTTAACTGAATATTTAGAGTTTTAAGTGGATGTCTGTGCATGACAATACAATCGTAGAAGATCATTGCGGAAAACATTTTATTATTTTTGTAAGAGTTTAACCACCATTCATTCAAGTCACCAAATGCTACAAAAGAATCAAAACTCCTCTCAAAAACAAAGAAAAACAAAGACAAAGAAAACAAATCTGTTTTTATATATATATACACATATATATGAATGCCAACTGGTTAATTTTACCATCGATAAGTTGTTCACATAGGTGACCGCTCATGTACATTCCTATTTTCATGGTTCCAGTGATAATATCTTTAGTATATAGGCATAAGGAGGAGGAAGAGGAAGTATATAGGCATAAGGAGGAGGAAGAGGAAGCCTCATAACATAACAAATGTCGTCTTCATTCTGGTGACTCTAATGTATTTATTGATGCACCTCATAAAAATCCTACTTTCTAAATAGAATTGTGTATTTCCCAGGGCTATTATGTTGCCATGCTTGAGTGTTACTTACATAAAGTGCCATTAAAGAATGACATTATAACAAACACATTAAAACTGTTTATCCTAGGTAGGGTTACTTCTCAATCCCAAGAAAATGAGGGTGTGCTTTTATTCAAATGCTTTTATTCCTTTTGAGTAATTCATGTAAAAATACCATACAAATAGCTTATGAGATCAAAACTGAATTATTTGTACAAGGCACAATGGATATTTGGTGAAATTGTTATGAAATTATGTCACCACACTTGCTACTTTGGATGTCGTTCGGTGTGCACATGACATGATCATGAGATGAAATGATTTCTCTCTTTTCTCAGGTCTTGTCAAATTTTGTTCCTCCAATTTGAAATAAGACAAACAAACTACATCCTTTACTTTTCTTTGTATTCAGTTTGAAAGTAAATCATTATCCTCTTTACTAACCATTCAAATCTCAGATACTGGGACACAGAATGTAGACTGCTGAGACAGTTTGTTTTGAGGCAAGAGGCAGTTAATAGGTATGGTGTAATACCAATAGTCTATTTCATGGAAAGGGAAAAATGGCCATAGGAAACAAGCTTTAACAGAGACCCATGAACCTCAGACACTCCTAGTGATTTCTTTATAGGCTCATATGTATAGGTGAATCTATGTACTTATATTTACAGATAGGCTACCTTTAATTTATTAGGTATTAAAGAATAAATATCAATTTCTGCTTCAAATTTCTATTTCATCTTCCATGCTTAGAAATGTTTCTAAATCTTTCTCAATAAACTATTGCATTTTCTTTTTAAAACTAATTTTGTTATTATTGTATGTGGATGGGTGATTCTTCTGCATGTGTGTATAACAGGTACACACAAGAAATATGGTAGAGGTATTGGATCTTTTGAAACTGGGGTTGCATATGTATAGTTGTTAGCCAACCTATGGATGCTGGCAATCAATTCAAAATTTTCTAGAAGAGCAACCATTCCTCGGAACCAAAGATCCCTTCTCAGCCCCAACAGGTTAGGATATTATTTCACACAGTTCAGTACTCATGATGGTTTTGTCCTTGTAATTACCCAGGTCTTTTGGAGCATTAGTCTGACTTCAGCCAGGAAAAAAAATCCAAACATCATGTTGCAGAGCTTATTACTGCTGCTGTTACAGCGGCATAAAGATTTCCATTCTTCTCACTAATGTCCATTCATGGAGCACGTTCTGTGACGGTTTCCATGTGGAGTTCATGCTGTGCATCATTGTCTGTTTTCTTCTCGAGATGTTATGAGATACCATACCAATGGGTAATATGTTCTCTTTTTGTCTATTCATTCATTCATTCATTCATTCATTCATTCATCCACTCCCTTTCATCCCATTAACTACCCCCAAAACCCAGCCCACCCTTCATAGTTCCTCCCTCCACTCCCTTCTGCTCTTTTCCACTGAGAGGGTGAAGGCTCACTCTCAGTATCCCCCGAATCTGGCACATCAAGTCTCTCCAAGGCTAGTGCATCCTCTACCACTGAGACTAGATAGGGCACCCCAGCTAGGTAAAAGGGATCCACAGGCTGGCAACAGTATTAGGGACAGCCTCTGCTCCAGCTGTGGAGACATGAAGACGAAGCTGGACATCTGCT